GGGCGTTAATCCAATATCCATGGAAGAAGCACAGTCTCTTGTTCGTAATGGAGAATTGAGATACAAGGATTTGTCTCAGGCGATACACCCTATATTAGGTACACCATTTCTAAATTTACATCCTTGTATGTCTCATCAACTTTTACAAGTTACAAGTAACAGGTAAGGAACGTAGGCAACATAGAAACTTAGAATGAATAGAATACTTAGAATTAAGTTCGAAACAAATAAATTATTTTTTCCTTTCTAGTAAAAATAAACTAGTCAGCTGGTTGAGTACCGTTGCTCCTGCCGCACTTAATCTCGAATTACGCTGTGAATATTGCCGATTGACCATCTAATTGTATCTATATTTTCGTTTTAAGAGAGCGCATCTGTATCAAATAAAAGCGAATTGTAAACGTTTTCTTTATTCTGATACGAAATAATCCTCGCGTGTACACTTTACTTTACGCAGGCTACTTTTATTAATTTCAATTTCATTTCAAATTCAATTTCAAATTCGGATAGAATCGCTTGTAGTTTGCCGCCTCTGCGCAATGGGCGTGCGTTCCGATTGGCCGAGACTCCGAGTGAAGCGCGCGGACGTGATTGGCCCAGCCAGCAACTGAAAGTTACTCGAGCGCCAATCGCGTCACGCGGCTCATAGAAATTGCTCCTTTCTCCCCACCCCATTCAACTTCCCCACCACCCGCGCGCTTTTCGAACATTTGACTTTAATAACATGCTTCTAGTTGTAGCACAGTCCCGCGACTGTCATCGCAGGGTATACACGAATAACGCGATATAACTAGTGAATCGCCGTGTTTGCACAGTCTTCTTTCATTCTTTCTTATTGTAGCTCGAGCCGAGACAAGCCTGTTACAGTTTCTCCAGCAAACAACAAACGGTTTTCGCGAGAACGCGTTCCACTGCCAACTCGGGATCGGTATTTAATGTGCACGCGAAGTGTTTTGTTTCGAATACACAGATCGAGGCAAGTTACCGACGCAGGTAAGAAACTTAATCACTGTTTGGTCGTGCGGTTTTATTCGATTGACTCTGACCTTTCGCAAGAAGAATTTAACATATTGTTTGCGAAAAGAGAAATACAGGATCGAATCTTAGGATTTGGAAATTTGAAATATGTTACGCATACGTCGATATTGAAGTAAATCAATCGGAAAATAATTGTGGAAGAGACACATGGAAAGAATGTGTTTGCAAAATTTAACCTCAAATTAAAACTTTCTGGTTGTGTAAGAAAAAATATAGTATACACGAGACTTTTTAAAGACCTTTCGTTAGTACTTTTGAAATATAACCTATATTTGAAAATTTCTGTACAATCGTAGGCGTAGTGCCAAGCATTGTGCTATTTAAATCTATATGAAACCGTATTTTCATATTTATTATAAAAGACATTCTCTGTCTTTCAAACAATCAGAAAAGATTTGAAACAACTTGAACAACGAAAATAAATATCTTAGCTTGTCTAACGTGGAATAAAATGAAGATACGTATATGTAAATGAAATGATCGATTTCACTGTAGAACATCGCTACACGAGCGACTCAATTGTACCTTTCATATCGTTGAAATCATTTCAATAAATCGTCATTGTTTCTTATTTCGATGTTACGCCAGCTCATTCTTAGATATTAAAAATGCTTCGGTACATCGAAGCTCCATTCCAATTAAGAGGTTAAATAGCGCGAATTTGAGAATCGTGGGCAGAGTTAAATTACCGACGGTCGAAATAGTAGAAATTGCATTGATTAAAAAATGAAAATAAAAACTTACTTAACAATGAACTGTGACTTAAATTTTGCCAGCCTTGCGTTGTGGACAAATGTTTTGCAATGCAATGGTACAGAATTACGTGCGCATGGAATGGACGAAGAACACACTGAACCTTAAGATTATCTTAGAAACTACAGGCGCACATTATCTCTCCAACACGTTTATTAATTGTGTCTGATGGTTTTCAACAAATAGTTATTTGTCAACAAGGTCAAAGACGTTTAAACATGTCACAGATTCTCTATTGGACATATTCTTACCGCGTATTAATTTCGTCATTGAGCGGAGACAAGTGGTTCTTCTATCAATCTTTTCAGGCCTCATTGCTCGTATGTTTACATTACAAGAATAATACAAGGTGCAATTATGATCTACATGGGATATCGTTGCACTAACGTTAGCTTCGTTTCTTAACAATTAATATCGTTCCCAGTAACAAAGTTTGTTTCTAGGTTTTCGACGAACAAATTGCCAACAGCCATGTATTCTACTTTCCCCAGAGATTACTAAATTACTAAAACATCCAACTCTCTGTTTAAACAATTTTTCCTTTTTGCTTGAGATTGATTTCTTTCCACTCGAGCGTTGCACGTGCGTGGTTTATTCGCTAATTCAAGAATACAGATGTGAGTCAGATTGTCGATTTGACGGAAAAGATCATGTCGTATCATCAACGAGAGACGAGGCTATTAATCTATAAAGATAAACAGTCGAAATTAGATTATAACTGCTACTTCGTCGAAGATTAAAGGCATTTTTGTCGAACTCGTCACGGTTCCTCGGTTCTTTGTTATTTGCTTCTGATTTTCCAGCACCTGTTTAAAAACAATGAGAATTAACGAACGAGGGAAAGATTTCTCTCCGGGTTGAACTTGGTATTTCTCTTCCCCTTCGATCTGTCCAAAGTGTGCAAGCAAAAAGCAGAGTGAGCATTCTCCACGGTTTCAGTTACATAAGAAAATGTAATTGCGTTTGTATCCGTACAGTTTGTTGATATGCACGCTGATACCATCGTGCTTAAGAATTACGTGAATTGTGGTGCTGATACAGTTCGCAACGAAAACACGATCCTCCAGAATTACGAAAAATTGGTTCTCTTCACATATATATATATATAGAGAGAGAGAGAGAGAAAAAAGAAGAAGAAGAAGTAGAAACATTGAAATATTCCTCTGTGTTTCGAAATTATTAAAATTACTAGCCGATATAAACGGCTTGATAATGATTGTTGCTCGCTTCAGTATTTCCTAGGTCACGTGGTAGAGATCAAGGTTATTGTTTCTGGAACAGTTTCTGAGATCTGCTGTGACAAATATTTCTTTTATCTTTTAGCTCTAGCGAGAGGGGGGGGGGAGGTTCGACTGGCGACCGTAT